CATGTATTGTCAGTTACTGAAATCCAACTGTTGCTCTTTATAGATGCCATATTATTTGTGAAGAATGTGACGTTCTTTATTTTTAACACAAATAGTCAAATTGACTTTAGTTTAAAAAAAAGAATCGTCAACAAAATGGTCTTTTATAGCTTGCTATGCGGTATGGATTTTGCTCACTATAGAAGGTGACCTATTATTGCTGACATCTACGTCATTTGGTCTCTTTTGATAGTTGTCTCATTGGCTATCAAATCTCCTTGCTATCATACAAACAACTTTTTTTTTCGGAATAAGAAAGTTTACTTCATAATAAAACCTCTAATTCCAATAAAAAATTATCTTTAAAATTGACTTCATAAAAATCTAGTGTGTTTGATTGACAAAATATTCTATTAGGAATGACCATGGTTATGTTAATTTTTTCGTTACATCTTCAATCCTGTACTGTTGCCCTCGCACATGACTGATCATCTGATACATATTATCACACGAGTTTTGTTTCATCATGCAACAATACGACTGGTACCGCTAGTAAGACAGGATCTGCTTACTATCTCAAAGTACCTGAGCTCACACCAGATTTTTAATGACATCTGTGTTGCTCACTTTAACTTCAATAAAAGGTAAAAAAGGATAACAGGAGTCGCCAAAAATACCGTATGGCACAACAGACCACATCAACTACCAGCATCCGACTCCTCCGAAGAAAAACATTCATAAAAAAACAACAAAGAACAACGCAGCTCCCAGATCGCATATCATGGTACCGGCACAAAATGCGGAGGGGTCAAACTATTTAAATGTGCATAACGTGAGGGTACCCAACTTGCACCTATTTTGACAGTTTTTTCACCTACGTTTTTTTATGACCCAGACAAAAGTTTCCATTCTGTGTTTATTTTGTAGATGTATCCTTATTTACTATATAGTTACACCAATTTAATTTTGAATCCATCTTGAATCACAGTAAAATGGGTTTGAACCAACCTCCAAACGATCCATGATTCTGTAATGAGGAGTACCCAAATTGCATCCATGCTTAAATTCACATCCTTAAAAATCGAATTACAGATGTTTTGTTTTATTTCTTCAAATATTCAAAACAATTTGACATTTGTCCATGTTTATTAATCATTTTTTAAGAAATGGATTCTTGTAACATATTTTATTTGCTCATTTTTAAAAGATGACTTTTTGTGGACGTCGCATGGCATCGTTCCGTAGATTTTACTTTTTCTAGTGAATACATCATCTGTTGATATATACTGTGAACGTTTTGTGTATATTCAGATATAGCCTACCTATGTTGAAAGACGTGTATAATGTCAAATCATGAAAATACAAATTGTTAAGCCTCAAGGAAAACTTGTAAGATTCCCGCTGCTATTTTTGCTGAATAGGTGCAATTTGGGTACTCGATGCAATTTGGGTACTCGATGCAATTTGGGTACTCTGACGTTACAAACGTCCCCGTTTGTCTATAACTGTACCTACCTATTTGTCTTTTCGTCTTTTCTCTTGATCAGGGTGTTTTTGTCCTTCTATTACAAACTCTGAAACAATGCCGACGTCGATACGCTAACTAATCAGTCAGTGTCGCGTAGCAGAGACAATGTTACAGCTGTTTCGGAGTTTACTTTGACGAGTGATGAATTGTATTACCACTTACTAATAGAGAGAAAAAAACATCTATACAAAATGTTGTATCAATAGAAGATTTTGACGAAGAAAGAATCATCAAGGTTTCCACAAGAAAGTGTTCGGTGAAAAGTATAGAACGGAGTTCAATGCCATAACACTTCTAAAGAGAAAACTCCCTAAGACGTCATTCTATATGTGAACATTTTTATTATATAGTATACTTAGGCTTTTTAAAATTTTCGTTAAATTGTATGTCTTAAATGCCTTATTTACATAATGAATAAAATAAGAATACAAAATGATTCGTCGGATTTTAACACAACTACCTTGAATTTAAATAATGGCATATATATATAAAAAAAGTATAGGACATATACGTAAATATTCAAATAATGATGATATGATGATATAAAAGATCCGTGCTTAATGTCCTTCACATGCTGGCTGGAATAAAATAAGTTCAGAGAAGTTGTCATTTGACTATTCAAGTGGATAATTAATAGTTGCTAACATTCTATGTCATTTGGTCTCAGGGTGATTGGCAATCATACCACATCTACTCATTTTTAAATAAATCAACTTCTTTAAAAATAATAAATATGCCAACATTGTATCTATTTACTAAATGTCCGCCGATTCAAAATAAACTGGTGTCTGATAACGGATTAACTTAAATAATGATATTTTTGGAACCAAATTACTGGAGCGACTAATTAGTTCTTATATATAATTAATGACGTAGCGTAACAATCCTCATAAGTTTTGAAATTTAATATGTGGGTGTTTACTTGTATTGACAATTGCATACGTACCGTTATTCTGTTCCAAAGGAGAACAATGGCTTAGGTTCGTTAATAAGGCATCGTCTGTTTAAACCTGTATTTTGGATCATTGATATCATTAAATCTCATTTATAAATCTATACAAAGTATTATGCAGACAATGTACTTCCGAATCACAAATCAAAAATATATATCAAACCAAACATAATATTGAAAATACAGTGCAGTCGCTCAGTACTTAATTAGTTTAAACATGTTTTTATTTGCTCAAATACAAATTGGATAAGACACAAGCCAACGCTTCTGAAGTCTTCTCCATTAAGATAATGTATATTACATTTCATATTATTTTACATTTATATAAGTTGGGCAGAAAATCAGTTTGTTAGAAGAAAGAAAGGAAAAACAAAGATACAAAAAAAAGAAGCTTAACTTTGTTGACGGTGTGTATATGTGGTCATGTTTTTTATGGTCTTGATGGGGTTTACAGAATAAAGAATAATGGGCAAAAATATTAAAAATAGAGAAAAACAGGTCAAAAAATTAAGAATGGAGAATAATGGGGTGCTTAAATATAAAGAATAGAGAATAATGGGCAAAATTTATAAAGAATAGAGAAAAATGGCTTAAAATTAAAAAAAATTTAAGGAACCCTAATCCAGACCCTCATGTTTTACCATCTAAATGATAAGGAATCTTTTCGATCCTCTATAATAAACTAAAACATGATTAAAGACATTTTCATTTTGCTCCTGCATAACAACTAAGAGCAGTAAATAGTTTTATCAGTGCTAAACATTTTGTTCTTACTTAGAAAAACGTTGTCGCAGTGATACAAAAATACGTAACAAAGTAAAATTCAACTGAAATAAACTTCGTACCTACGCCAGTGACATTATCTATAACAAAAAGTTCTTAAATTTTCTGCGCTAAATGAAGAAATAATTTAGAAAGTAAGGTCCAACCTCTCAGGCAAAATCAGACAAAATTAAATTTAGATGGCTTTGGCTATTGTACCTTTAGGTTATATAGCTCTTCAAGTTTTTACACATTCTAAACTTTCAAAAACAAATTTCAACCAAATCTCTTAAATACAAAGAAGTGTTTGTTTTGTTCTTTTCTGCATATTAAGTCCGTACCCATTCACTTGGGCGCACCAAAGAAGATCTTGTTTTCCTGCATTTTTGATGGCGTTGCTGTATGGCTACTTTTGAATACATCCGCCGATGTTACACTGTTGGGTGGCATGATTTCATGTCATAATTGTAAGTGCTTCGAACATGCTTTCAATGACTGTAATCTTTCTTTCATACGGTATTGATTTGTTTGTTTTATAGTTGTGTTTTTTTGTCTTTGATAATGCCGATAATATAGGGTTCAGTGTTTTTTTCTGCACTGAATTTAATTGAACGTTTTATTTTTTACCAGGGGGTCGGTTGAGATAAAAAAAAAAAAAGTAGTTTAACTCCTCCCCATGATCATGTTCTTGTCCCAAATCAGGAACCTCGTCAATGGCTGATTTAGGTTAAATTTTAACGTTTTTTTTTATTTGTTTCTTGGGTATTCTCTGTTTAATTAATTCACAATTATCCTTGAATCTAGAGCGTGACATATTGTATAGAAACTTGTCTATTGTTGAAGAACATAACGTGTAAATGATGACCTATAGATTTCTTGTTTTGTGTCGTTGGGTTGCCGTCTCATTGTCGTTTACCCCACATATTATACGTCAAAGACAATTACTGACGGGGGCTCCTAACTTAGGACCTGGACACTGATTGTTGGCGTGGCTATATATATTTTCTTGTAGAACTTAACTTTGCCTTTTTTTTTAATTCAAAAAGCAGAGATGGGCTATCGTATTGGTGTGGCATAGTTCTAAAAGGGGACCATCAATTGATACACCAATGGTTGACGGGTATGTAGAAATATGATCAAATATGGCCGTATTCTTCCATCCGGCAGTAAAACCCATGCCATGTCTGTTCGGAATGGAAATGCCTTATTAAGGAAGAGTGTCACACTCTCTGCACGTTGTAAAAATAATCATTACAATTCTTCGAGAGTCCGTAGGTGGCCTGTTGTAAGGCAACTTGAGTGCCCCTGGCTAAACTAAACTACTTTTGGAGTGGAACGATCCACTTTACAGAATCTACCTGCCGGATGACTGTTAATTGTTAATCTTATGCATACAATATTTGCCGAACGTTAAGCAAACAACATTCAATCAATCAAAGGATTGATACCCTAATATTCGGCTTTCAAAGACCATTTAACTGCTAAGCAATTGATCAAAATCGCTGTCAATCATTTTCAAGACTATTTACGACAAGCGGGCAGCTGGCGGTAGATGCGTATAGCTTAGATAATTTTGAACATATCTTGTTTTAAGCAATGATAGTGTAATGTTTGTGTATGTGAATTTCTTGCTGCCCATTAAGAATCCTTAATTGGAACAATAAACATTCGTATTCTTACTCTTGGTTATGTGATCTGGCATTGAATACAGAAATGTTCCAAGCTAAACCAGTGCAATCCAGTTCGCAAACCAGTATCTCACCAAAATCGTCTGCATTGGATCGATAGTCTTCTTCCGTAACTACTCAGACATTGATTTTGTGTGTTTTGTTGTTTGAATTCGTCGAAATATTGTGTATTTTTAAGAAAATTTTACATTCTTAGTGTTTAAAAAATTATGTTTTGAATCAGTCGACCGTTTCAAAGAGCGTGTCCATGTTTTTCTACCTGCTAAATAATAGCCAATAGCGTTAACTGTCTCATTATCATTTATTAAATGTACATGAGAACACGGATTGTTTGTGAAGGAGCGTTTTTTTTCATTCATACTTTACTGTGTCTCGATAAATTAAACATTTAATCGTTAGAGCAGGCTTTTATTTATTCGGCAATACTAGTTCTGTAGCAACAGACGACTAATTACAAACATACTCGGAGCGGTAAGTGTATTTTTAAGTTTATAGCATTATGTTAATATCATCATGATTTGCTACAATGTAGGGTGAATAATAAGCGATTTTAAACATTTATTTTACAATTTCCGTTCATTTTTCCTCAATTAAATTTAATATGTCGCCATGTCTTTATTGATTAATTAAATCTAAAATGTTACAAAAATCGATTTCATGTAATGAAGATTTCTTCCTTGTAACCTTCCGTAGCTGAATAGGAAATCCCACCTCCCATGTGTTTTGTGTCAGTCAACGTTGAAGGTTATAATAAAGATACCGGCAAATGATCAATCAAACTCGTGCATGTCAGGGCCAGATTGCGGAAGGAGGACCAAGCTAGAAAAAAAACTTAACAATATATGATTTTCACACTTTTTGAAAAAAAAGGTTTAATACCTTTGTATTTCATGTGCTTTTTTGCATGTAGAAAAATAGAATTTTATTACCTTCTTGCCTTCTTTTCCTCGGCCAGGTGGCAAAGACATAAGTCTATATATGTTGGCCTACCGAAAAATAAAACTTTCACGTTCTTTTTGTACACCGCCACGCCACGTGTTTGTATGTGTTTCTCTTTGTTTATTTGTCATTGAAAATATCTGTTTGTTTTTCGGTGTTTCTTTTCATTATTCATTTGCAAATATGTGTGTAATTATTATCTACATGATATTGACAAGGATTGTATATATCTGCATTTTGGGCGTATATATTGTATAAGCTCAATCGGGCTATACAAATTATCTCCCTTCGGAAAAAAAATCATGAAATTTCATTTGTTCGATAATTATTCGGAAATGCAATCTGAAAAGTTACAGTATAAAGAAACAAACTTAAATATTTCTGTGTAAAAAAATCAAGTTGTATCATGACTTAAAGATTATTTACACGGTAAAATTTTTAAAAGTATTTCAAAATTCTATTCAGCGGCACTTTTGAAATGCCTGTATCATGTCTGTGAAGTGTTATGAATCTCTTTCAAATAAAAAGTGAGAAAATAAAACTTCCTTAAAAATTTGATTGAGTTTTTGACTGAGCGAGATATGTATACAAGTTCAAACTGAACTTGATATAGAGAACTTGATTGATGCAACCATTAAGCATACTGTAGTGAACATGTTATCAATATATCATATAGCTAACTTTCTCATACACTATCATAGAGACTTAATTTTTGGATTTTTAAAACTTTTAGAAAATCGCTGACTGGAGTTTTTACCGCAATCTCAATTAAATCGATTACTTGAAGAATATTTTTCCAGGTAAACAAAATGTATTGAAGAGTAATACTAGACTTTGACTAGATAATAGCTTCAGACAGGGGAGGGGGGTCATGGTTTTGAATTCTTTCGTATGTCAGCAACTGAACTGATATTTACAAAGATGAATAGTACCAATGGTTTAGTTTGTTTGGGATAAAGTTTACAAGTTTGAAAAATGACAAAAATATATTCTTTTTTGTTATCTCCTGGAAGACAATTAGAGAAGGTAATGAAGCAAAATCATTTCAATCTTTTAAATTTTTTATAGACTTTAAAGGGAAATGTTCTGAACTTAATCGTACTTTACCTATCATGTTTTGACTTTTAACTGTGCTTAACAAAAAATGTCATTAAAATGTGTTAGGGTAGGCATGAACATTAATATTAGGTAGGAAGTCAGAAAAAAACAACTTAATTTTATGGAGGCCTACTTAGAAGGACATAATCATTTCAATAATAATGCGATAAAGTACAGAAATGAAAATACTATTTTTCCACTTAATTTAGTATAGGTAAAATAGAATAATTGATATTCTACATCATCTAGTGGAAAAATCTACTTCTCTTATTTCGTAATGCACTAGGCAGATTTCATTAATCTCGTCTAACGTCTTTGGGATTAAAGTTTGATAAACCTATTGTTTAGAGCAGATCCTTCAATAGTATCAAACTGGATATATATTGTATTGTTCAGATGTTATCGCGTCAGGTTTAGTCGAGCTGTTTTTGTTGATTCGCGTTGACCGACATAGCTTCACGGTAAATAGTAATGTAGACGTTAAATTGGGTTTTAGTCATTAATCTTTCTAAAATATGAATAGGTACTGTTTTTACCTGGACACCAAATAATATATATTGTATATGCGAATGGAGTCGTTAACAGTGTTAAATGGAGCAAGGCTCGCTTTAAGGATTCTAATTGAACGAATGCTACACATACACTGACATATCGCCGTGTTATTTTTCCATAAAAGCAGCCAAAGAGATGTAAGATGTACTATCAAAACGCAACACAAGGATATCAAAGAGTCAAAGAAAAAATATTAAATAGAAAAACATAATCAAATCAAACGAGTATTCGAGAGTTATCGATTCAAAATCAATAAGGTTTATTTCTAGTGGTACTACAGACGACTGTCAACGTTAAGATAGATAAGATTAGAAGTTTTTTTTTTATTTCAGTTAAAGGGCCCATGAACAGCAAAGTAATTTATTACGATGATTTTAATAATTGAGACAAATAATTTTGAAAATCATATATAAATATGAATGATTAACTAAATTTTAAGATCTTAAACCACAACAAAACCAGAGCCATAAGCATATAAGTAAAAACTTGGCTCTTGTGTTTAACATTTCGAAATTTTTACAACTTATAAAATTTTTATCATAGAACTCTTTTTTCTAGGGATTATAAAGGGGACATTGGCATATAAAATGTACATGTGTACCGCCCAACAGAAGTTCCCCTGGAAACTTATTATAACCATGTCATGATATCTGTTCCTGTTGGAACAAAAATTCTATACAATTTATTCTGTTAGGAATTCAGTGGAAATAATATTCCAGAGTATATATTCCATTTGTAACAACTTATATTTTATGACACTTGTGAAAAAAAAATTCATTATTTTAAATTTGGTCATGCGTTAGCAATTAAACATAAGCCTACGCTTATCTCTTCACACTTACGAATTCTTATTTCTGGAAAGTTGAAATATTTATGATTTTAGATTTGATATAATTATGGTCCTGCGTTAGCCATTACACATTAGCCTATCTCTTTATGACAAACATGTGAATTTTTATTTATAAAAGTTGATTTAACACGTAGAGTTAAATACACATGTTTCTTTTGGAAACATCTGCGTTTTATTGATTGAAACTATCATGATTCAGATGCCCTTTCGCACCTAGCTTGAAGTGACCTATTTCATTTAATATTTTGGCACAACCTATGTTCTGTTTTAGAAATAATATACACGTAGTCGACAACATACGTTCACTAAAGTGCAATTTAGGAAATGAGTAAACGAAAATTACAATTGATTTGAAAGCATTAAAAGGTTTGAGAAAATATGCATACTATTAATCAAGACAATGGACGAATCACGGCATAACAACCCTGGGAATGGCTAGAATCTTAGGATTTCTCCGCAGAAACGTTGAACGTTGTTAACTATCTGGCAATGCCACTGCATCCTGCGTACTGATCGATCAATCGATCGAATACGCCACTACAGGGTATGATCTTGATCAAAGGCCTTAAACAAATAAAGCACATAGCGGTTTGTTTCGTGTTTAACTATATAGTACATGGATTATGAACCATCTCCATTTGGACACCTTACAACAATGGCGAATAAACAGCGACTTTCCTTCCGTTGCAAAATTCAGAACCATCTCGGGGAGATCCACACTCGAATGTAGAGACATTCAGTAGATCGAGGCGAGGCCGTAGACTAAGACGGATATGAGCAAATCCCTTTTCCCGTGTTTTATAAGAGACTGGGACCATCTCGTGACAGTTATGAAATTAAGATTGTCATGGAAATAAAAAGGAGTATGGTAGAAATGAGAGACATCTCAAAGACATATTGCAAGGGTTGCTTTACGGGCAGAAGGCTTTGCATTCTGAACAAATGACACCGGATTTAATTTTCAAATACCGGCTTGCTTAGTATGTATTATATATCTAGCACAATTATTCTGATAAAGCTGTTGAACGGAAATGACTTCATGCGTATTTTAAAAAAAAATAATGTTTTGTGTACCAATATACACTTTTATAGCTGACTATGCGGTATGGGCTTTGCTCGTTGTTGAAGGCCGTACGGTGACCTATAGTTGTTAATTTCTGTCATTTGGTCTCTTGTGAGTTGTCTCATTGGCAATCATACCACATCTTTTTTTATATAAACTGTACAACACGGAGATACGCTTGATTGTTTATCTAGATACCAGTCTTCTTTACGACACTAAAGATTGTTTACGCCAGAGCCATGCTTAATTAATCAATCTGTTATATCCATCAACATTGAACGCCAATGTTTGAAAGCAAGGTATACTGCAATTACCTATATACCCATTATATATTAATGATTTTGTTCTAAGTCATTGAACTTAACTACTAGAGTGTTGTTAGAAATCAAGAAACATAAAAATATATAAAAATAAGGTGCGTCATAAAGAGAACTTGAAAATAAATTCTATACAATATTTAATGGACTGATAATGAGCTAATATCAGTTTTCTATACAAAAAAAAAAACACACAAAAAGCAAAGGACCAGCGTTTTTATTGCTGTTCTTCATCTCAAAGTCACAGTGAGGCTTCAAAAGGTTGTTATTATATTTTGCCACATAATTTGAATGAGATGAAATATGTCGTTTCTCAGAAATTTTGATAGTTAATACAGCTCTTACTGCTCGGTTGAATTATTTATTGAATTTTATAATACCAGCATTGTACATGTTGTAAGTTCTAAGTAACTGATTAACTTTCTTGCTGACTTCACTTCTTTAAATCCAAGTATGCAATTGCGTTTCAACGTGGTCGTAAATAAACTAACAGCGATGCCATGATTCCATCCCACATTCAGACTCATGACGACCTTTCATGGCCTCATGCTTCCATCATTTTGAGGTAAAAGTAGTGTTTGCCATACTGACTCCATTGAACAGTTGACCTTAACAGTAACTGTACAGAAGAACAAGCATCCTTTTAACCTCC